TCCGGAGCCTGTGCTCCGCAACGGGAGAGGCCACAACAGTGAGAGGCCCGCGTACCACAAAAAAAAAAGTTATATTCTTTTCCTCCAAATTACATATACATACTGGCATACAATTTCAGGGAGTCATGAGTTTCTCTTGCTCATCCATTAGCCCTAAGGGACTCTCCACACCCTATGGTTAAAGGCCCTTCTGTAAGAAGACGTGCCCAATGGTGACACACACAGATATTTATTAAGTCAACACACATCAATGTGCCAGGCTCTGAGCTATGTTTTGTGAATGGAACCAAGATTAAATAAGATACAGTTTTTCACAAAGATTTCAATCCAAGAGTTGGGTCAACGTTTTCTCTCTAACTACATAGATTACATACATACATACATACACACACACACACACACCTGTACCTATATTAGGTAAATCAATAGAATGTAGGTTTCCTTTTTACTATTATAATGTACTGGGTAGCAGTTTTAATGTATTAGGTGCACACAATGCGTGTGCACATGCACACATACACACACACACAGGGTATTTAAACAGTAAAATCTCTGTTTACTGGATGAGGACCTGTCAATTTGTCCTCGGTTGAACACAGGGGCCAATAACAAATGCCACATCCAATAAACACATTAAAAATATTCCAGTAATACTTCCTGTGACTGATTGTAATTTAGGTTACTCTCTTCAGCTTGCTTCCCAAGGCAGAGAGGTAGTACAAGAAAGAATAACATCCTTGTCGTGGTTGTTAACTACGAAACATCCAGATTTCAGAGCACAGTTGGCAAGAAATGTTTGTGTAGGTCACAGACCTTCATAGAGCAAAAGCTTTCCAGAGCTCACCTCCCCTCAAATATGGAGACTTCAATTGAAACAGAAATTAATTATAAAATGTAATCCAGGGAGATTTGAAACGACACTAAAACTAAACTTCGAATAACAAGCCCACATAAGCATTTGCCATCCACCCCATGGCGATAAGCAAAATAAGCAAGGAGGGATTTTTTTCTGTGTCACATGTCTCAGTGCATTGTCTACAAAATTCCTAAACCCATTAAAATCAGAAAAAAATTACTTGTTACAAAGTAAAAAAAAAAAAATCATATTATTTTGGCATACACCCTACCAGATGTATGGCCTAGAATATAAACAATGGGTTTCATATACTAAACAGTAATGAAAGGATGGAGAAAAAAGAGGGATCCCAATTCTGGAATGTGGAGAGAGATAACATAGAGATACTGGATTTCCTGGAGCAAATGACCAGCCTGGAGTCTGATTTTTTTTTTTGCGGTATGCGGGCCTCTCACTGTTGTGGCCTCTCCCGTTGCAGAGCACAGGCTCCGGATGCGCAGGCTCAGCAGCCATGGCTCACGGGCCCAGCCGCTCCGCGGCATGTGGGATCTTCCCGGACCGGGGCACGAACCCGTGTCACCTTCGTCGGCAGGCGGACCCTCAACCACTGCGCCACCAGGGAAGCCCTGGAGTCTGATTTTGATAAATACACTCTCAGTTATATTTGCTAATAGCTTGCTACTCTGACCTCTCCATGTTCTTTCCTTCCTCCTCCTGTTTCTTTGACCTAAAGCCATGTTTACTGACTCTCTTGGAGAACGACAAACAGACAGACAGACACAAGAGGGAATATGATACTGAGAAAATCTCATTGATTTTTATATTTAGTCAGGTCAGGAGTTATGCTTAGATCCTTTATTTCAATTGGTATGTTTTGTTTTGTTTTGTTTTGACAGGGATAACTTTTCAAATTAAATCCCTTTATTGAACTTTCACTCTTGGATAGTTTCTGAAGATGCTGTCTTTGCTGAAAAGTAAAATAAAATAAATAAAATTAAAACGGATATATTTCATGCCTTGTGAAAGCTGAGCCTGAGATGACAGTTTGGCATTATCAACCTCCGTGCCTGCAGGGAGCACAGGAATAATGTTGGGTGAGAGAAAACGTGCCGATCAGGGAAAGCGACAGCCGTGTTGTTTTCAGAATACGGGGTAATGTGCATTAAATGACACAAGCCAGAAAGCAGCATTATCCCCCAAAGCTTGAAAATAAAATCAACCTGGGATGCTACCAATTCCATCCAGAGCTTTCTAAACAAGGGGTGTAGTCACGGGAGACAGACCCTAAAGCTCTTTCATTAGTCTTTCGTTGTGAGACTTTGTTACTATAAGCGTGTTCCACAGACCAGAGGCATCGGCTTCACCTGCAGACTCTTGGGCGCTTACTGAATCAGAATCCACATTTTAACAAGATCCCTGGGTGGGTCGTATGCATGTTCAAGTTTGAGATGCAATGCTCTAAATTTATCAGACAACCTGGTAAGTGAGGTTAGGTAGCCAGCTGGTAACCCTGACAATTGGTCAACTATGTGTTCATTCATTCAATAAATATTTATTAAGCTCCATCTGCATGTAGACACTGTAGAATGTGCTGGAGATGCAATACTGAGCAAAGGTATACTTGGCTCCTGCACACACAGAACTTAATAGGCTGCTGGAGAGGAAAACTTGTGATCAAATGGAATGTGTAATTTCAAACTAAGATGAATACAATAAAGAAAAATAATAGAGTTGGATGAAAGCAAACAAAATAAACTGGTTTAGATTAGGACTTCAAGAAAGACTTCCTTAAGAAGTGGATGCTCTCCCTGGATTTGATCTAGTTCTACGGTTATTCTGGATGTTATCATTGGGGGAAGCTGGGTGAAGGGTTCAGGGGAACTCCATACTATTATTTTGCAACTTCTTTGTGAGCCTAAGATTATTTCAAAAAGTTAAAAAAATTAGAAATGATGCTTAATCTTAACCTGAACCATCTTCAGTAATACGTTACACTGAATTGGTCAGGGAAGGGGGAATAAAGAAAGGTATTCCAAGCAGAGGAAAGAGTAGGTATTAGAGTCTTGTTATGGAGACATAGAACTTTGCAGTTTCTAAGAATTGAAAGCAAACCCAAAGGCCTGCAGGTGATGACCGAGGAGGGCACAGAGTGAGATGAGGCTGAGGAAGTGGGCAGGCGGCAGATTACGCTGCAGCTACAGGTAAAGGTGAGAACTGTGTTCTTTATTACTAGAGCAATGGGAACTAAAACGAAGCTCTAAACAGACGGCATGGCAACTTTTGACTTAAGACAGCTCTGGCTACTGTGTACTGAGAACTGAACCATGGCATCCAAGATAATATTATCAGCTCTGGTCACCACCAGAGAGAGCCCACTTTATAAAGAAGTGGGGGGCTTCCCTGGTGGCGCAGTGGTTGAGGGTCCGCCTGCCGATGCAGGGGACGCGAGTTCGTGCCCTGGTCCGGGAGGATCCCACGTGCCGCGGGGCGGCTGGGCCTGTGAGCCATGGCCGCTGAGCCTGCGTGTCCAGAGCCTATGCTCCGCAACGGGAGAGGCCACTGCAGTGAGAGTCCCGCGTACCGCAAACAAACAAACAAACAAACAAACAAACAAAAGAGGTGGGAAAGCAGCTCTAAACTGTTGAGATTATTCTGTGTCAGGTATAATCTGGGCACATTAGATATCAGAGCTCTGCCTGAGTTTATAAAGGAGAAAGGAGATGGTCAGCTTGGACGCTGATCTATCCCCACACTGATTCTGCCAAAGAATATATTCATTCCCCAAAGGGGGAAAGAAACCTCTGGAGATAAAAATATCTCCCTGTGCGCACATAGTAATGGAGTAGGTGTGGTTTCTGGAGAGTCTGTATGGCAGGGGTGACCAGCTTCTTTGAGCTGTGAGCTGGTAAACCATGGGTATCATTTGCCTTTGCATCAGAGAAGTGGAGGGCAAGCAGACAGGCTCAGTGTCAGTGATGATGAAGTGTGTGAATAGTGAGGGATATTTTTAAAACAGAGGAGGTCTCAAAAATTAGATTATCACCCTCTGGCTCAGTGCTGAACAACTTCGACCAGCCTCTTGGCACTGTGGTAATTGGAGAGTCTGTTCTCTTCCTTTTCTCTGCACTTGAGACCTCTTTCTTTTCACCTGGGTTTTCTCCCCTCAACTATTTTCCTTCTATGCATTTCCCTCTTTTCTCTTTTTCCTTTTTCCCTTTCACCTGTAGTTCCCTAGTAGTACCCCCTGAAATGCTTAGCCCTCCTGGAGAACCTCAGGAACAACGAAGGGGAAGGAAATCCATGTTGTTGTTGTTTAAATATATTACTTAAACTTTCTATGCCTTGGTTTCTTCATCTGTAAAATGGGAACCACCACCTATGAATTGTAGTGAAGATTAATTGTGATAAAGTATAGAAAGCCCTTAGCATAATTCTTGGTACAGGGCAAGTGCTTAGTAAATATTAGCTACTATAGGAATCATTATTATTAACTTCTTTAATTTACAGTGAAGAAATGGAGGCATAAAGAGTTTAAGTAACTTTTTCAAGGTCACACAGTGAATGAGTGAACTTGTGAGTCATGCAGACATGGCTTTGGATTGTGGATCTTCAGCTTTGCTCTCCATCGTGTGCTAAAGCCAAAACATCCATAGGAAACACAGTCTTTCACTGTAGCCAACCTAACTAGGGATGTTCAGAACCACCAACTGACTTTTGCCTCCTGCCGCTTACGATGGGGGACAGACAGGATGATGCTCTTCTACAAGCCCTTTCCAAGTGTTTTGTCAATCTCCCACTAGACAGTGAGGCATTGCCTGGATGATATCTGATAAAATAAGGAAACTGGCAAAACAAATCAAAACAAAAGAGCAGCAATAATGCAATAATAACAAGTGTTTACTTAAAAAATAAGAAATTTTGGAATTTTATCATCTCCTGCAAAGAAAAACCCCTTGATTGGATGAGAGTTGTAGAGAATTATTAAGACAACTCTAGGTAACTAAGGCCAAAAAAAAAGTCCTCAGGTCCAAACAACTCAGATTATTGATTATCGCCACTGTGATTTCCCTTAACACAGATGCGATTCATGGCAGATCAATAAAATTAATTACTATTAACTTCGTGGAAAAGTTGCTTTACTTACGACCATCCACAGTTCTGGCCTCGAGATGCACAAGATCTGGTTCCTTGTTCGACCCCATCACAGACCTAAATGATGGAGAAACATCAACATTAATGAATTCCCATGTGCCTCAGGGAAACTTAGCTGAGCCCACAAACTACTAATGTTCACGGGATTCTAAAGCCACAATTCTTAGGATACATCTACTGTATTTATTGATATAGTCTGACAGTACAATTTTCACTTCAAATAAAACCTATAAAAAATCCTTTATTTGATGAAGGCCAGGCTTGACTGTGGCAAGGATACTGTGTGTTATTAACTCTGACTTGCAAATGAGTGCCATGCATGTCATATGTAACAGTCTCACTGACAGTATATTAAACTTTCAAGAGTTGTCAGGCAGATGACAGGCAAGCTGCTTTACCTGGGTGACTTGAGCAGTGATTTACACACAGCAAACTGATCTAGTTAATGTTTTCATTTGAAATTTGCAGAACTACCTACTACTATCCTATGAACAGACCACATGACCCAACCAACGTAGTGGCCAGAACAGCCTAGAGTGACCATTCTCTGTATTGTTGAACCTGTGTGAGTGGGAAATACAGATGCACCCATATTATGATATGTGCCAGAAATCACAAGTGTAAGTAAAATACAAGTCTATTTAAAATGCCTTGGAGGGCTTTCCTGGTGGCGCAGTGGTTGAGAGTCCGCCTGCCGATGCAGGGGACACGAGTTCGTGCCCCGGTCCAGGAATATCCCACATGCCACAGAGTGGCTGGCCCATGAGCCATGGCTGCTGAGCCTGCGTGTCCGGAGCCTGTGCTCCGCAACGGGAGAGACCACAACAGTGAGAGGCCCGCGTATCGCAAAAATAAATAAATAAATAAATAAATAAAATGTCTTGGAGAGGACCCTCAAGATGGTGGAGGAGTAAGACGTGGAGATCACCTTCCTCCCTACAAATACATCAGAAATACATCTACATGTGGAACAACTCCTACAGAACGCCTACTGAACGCTGGCAGAAGACCTCAGGCTTCCCCAAAGGCAAGAAACTCCCCACGTGCCTGTGTAGGGTAAAAGAAAAAAAGAAAAAACAGAGACAAAAGAATAGGGACGGCACCAGCACCAGGGGGAGGGACCTGTGAAGGAGGAAAGGTTTCCACACACTGGGAAGCCCCTTCGCAGACAGAGACTGCGGGTGGCAGAGGGGGGAAGCTTCGAAGCCACGGAGGAGAGCGCAGCAACAGGGGTGCGGAGGGCAAAGTGGAGAGCTTCCCGCAAACAGGATCGGTGCCGACCAGCACTCACAAGCCCTAGAGGCTTGTCTGCTCACCCTCTGGGGCGGGTGGGGTCTGGGAGCTGAGGCTCGGGCTTCGGTTGGAGCACCGGGAGAGGACTGGGGTTGGCGGCGTGAACACAGCCTGCAGGGGGTTAGTGCGCCACGGCTAGCCGGGAGGGAGTCCGGGAAAAGTCTGGGCCTGCCTAAGAGGCAAGAGACTTTTTCTTTCCTCTTTGTTTCCTGGTGCTCGAGGAGAGGGGATTAAGAGCGCTGCTTAAAGGAGCTCCAGAGACGGGCGCGAGCCGCGGCTAAAAGCGCGGACCCCAGAGACGGGCATAAGACGCTAAGGCTGCTGCTGCCGCCACCAAGAAGCCTGTGTGCGAGCACAGGTTACTACCCACAGCCCCCTTCCAGGGAGCCTGTGCAGCCCGCCACCGCCAGGGTCCCGGGATCCAGGGACAACTCCCCCAGGAGAACGCACGGCGTGCCTCAGGCTGGTGCAACGTCATGCTGCCTCTGCCGCCGCAGGCTCGCCCCGCACTCCGTGCCCCTCCCTCCCCCCGGCCTGAGTGAGCCAGAGCCCCCGCATCAGCGGCTCCTTTAACCCCGTCCTGTCTGAGCGAAGAACAGACGCCTTCCGGCGACCTACACGCAGAGGCGGGGCCAAATCCAAAGCTGAGCCCCTGGGAGCTGTAAGAACAAAGAAGAGAAAGGGAAATCTCTCCCAACAGCCGCAGAAGCAGCAGATTAAAGCTCCACAATCAACTGGATGAACCCTGCATCTGTGGAATACCTGAATAGACAACGAATCATCCCAAATTGAGGAGGTGGACTTTGAGAGCAAGATTTATGATTGTTAACCCTTTTCCTGTTTTTTTGAGTGTGTATGTGTATGCTTCTGTGTGAGATTTTGTCTGTATAGCTTTGCTTCCACCATTTGTCCTAGGGTTCTA